TATTTTTAACAGCTGTAAGTTTTATAGGTCTATGTGCAAAAATGGAATTCTATAATAATCAAAAATAGTATTTGTTTGTGACTTTTGTTGCTATATGTTTTCACTCAGACGCTACTTTTTCACTGATGGCAGAAAAACTGAATTGAAAGACTTTTAAAATATAATCAGCCCAATCCAATGAATTCAAGGGGGTTCAAGGTCTATTATTTACTTCATAGCTCAATTTACAAAAACCATCTAGGGCTTTTTTTTTTTTTTTTTTTTTTTACCTCTCCTAAGAGACCACATATAGTGTGGAAAAGGTGAGGGCCTTATGTATGTGATTTGGCAAGGTTGGAAATAAGAAAGAAGGCTCCATTTGAGATTGCTGCTGTTGGCATAATGAGTAAATCCTTATTCTGTACACATAGGACATAATGTTGACTCTTAGGGTGGCACGTTAGATAGGGACAATCACTCATCTGGACCCAGTGTAGCTTCTTGGTACACACTGTGATTTTTCTTACAATCTCATCATTTACTTTTGAAGTGCATTATGGCTAAAGCCCAATGTTGTCTACATCTGGTGTAGGGGATTTCTTGGCAAAGCGAGCTGCTTTCCCCTTTACCCACCTTCTGAGTCTTCTACTTGGACATATGGGAAATTTATGGTTTCCCTTTATATTTAAATGAGACATACACACACCCTGCAAAAAAGAAGGGAAGTCTCAGCCCTGTTGAGTCCCTAGCAAAAGGAGCACTCAGCATTGTTCTGTGTTTTCTCCTTCCCTATTTCTTTGTCTTTACCCTCAGTTCTCACCCTTCTTTGTTTTGGGGCAAAGGTGAGGACCACGGGGCAAAACAGAATAGTACATCTCTCTGTTCTTAAAACTGTACTCTGCTCAATTTGGTCTGGGGTGGTTCACTTCTCTCAATTCGAGAGATGAATAAGGCAGGAAGTAAGTAATGTCTAAAACCTGAGACTGCAAATGTTCTCCATATTCTTCCATTTCCTTTTTATTTTCTTTTTTTAAAAATATGTTTTTATTGATTTTGTTTTAGAGAGAGAGGAAGGGAGGGGGGAGAGAAAAACATCGATGCGAGAGAGAAACATTGATCAATTGCCTCCTGATCAGGAATCAAAAGAGTAACCTTTTGGTGCAAGGGACGATAGTCAACCAACTGAACCATACCAGCCAGGGCTATTCTCCCCTTTTTAAATCTCATCTCTTACATTTAAGTTATGACTTTTTAACATAATAATAAAAAAGCACTTTTTCTTCCTTTCTTAGTATTTGAGGTAGGAATGGCCGCGGTCATCTGCCATGACCATTATATTGAACAACATATTATTGTGCTACATCTCGGTGTGTATAAAGATACCAGCATGTTTTTGTGATTCAGACAGTTAGTGTGGAGGCTTTGACTCCCATCTAGCTCAACCACCTACCCCTCTATAACCTTAGGGGAAATCATCTTCTCTGAGCCTCGTTTTAATCATCTGTAATAGAAATGACACATAAGTAGCAACTTTAGAAATGTTCTGTGAGGAAAGAAATAGTAAAGAAAGAAATGCTATTGGTATTCAGGAAAAGTGTATTTTATTACCTTTTATTAAATACTTTGATCCCAGTAGTCCTGAAACTATTCTCTAAAAATCCAGTTGGTGACGTACTCTATAATTAGGAGTGCTTAGGATCCTCTAAGCCAGTGGTCGGCAAACTCCATAGTCAACAGAGCCAAATGTCAACAGTACGATTGAAGTTTCTTTTGAGAGCCAAATTTTTAAAACTTAAAACTTCTTCTAACGCCACTTCTTCAAAATAGACTCTCCCAGACTGTGGTATTTTTGTGGAAGGGCCACACTCAAGGGGCCAAAGAGCCGCATGTGGCTCACGAGCCACAGTTTGCCAACCACGGCTCTAAGCAACTAGCAGAATATTTCGAATTCCCTCAGTTTTCACATGTTTGATGAATGATTCTGTCATCTTTGCAATTCAGTTTTAAGCATTTCTAGGATACTTGTTGCAGAGGGGAGTATGAAATACAGCATTCACTATAAAATAGACCTCAGACAGTTTCTCGTGAGTTCTCTCGTCCAGAGAATGGAACGGATATAAATGTACATTTACAGAACTGACATACTCTTTTCCCTCTGGTTTGCCATGTGTTGTCATAAATGCCTGCTGACTAGTAGTCAATGAAGACCGTTAATATTAGAAGTCCTGGTGTAAAAATTAATTTTCAGTTATATGACAAATCTAATAAACTCTACTTTTTTTCTATTTCATTGGCATATCATCAATTTTACTTCTAGCTTAAGAAACTAAGCTTCTAAACGAAGTCTTCTAGACTAATGTCCTTTGGGAATTAAACTACTGAAGACAATAAAGACTTTAAAAACTCATAAGAATATTTTGGAAAGGGAAACTTTTTTTTTTTTTTTTTTTTACTTATGCTGATTATTGTTTTAAAGGCATTTCATCTAGTGAGTTTCTCAGTTTCTCTTTTGATCCTTATCTACCTCATGAATTTGATTGCTCATAAATGAATATAATTGGTAGCTGTGCCTTCTATGTTAAACATATATGGGTTGATTTTTTTCTTCAAAGTAAATTACTTCTTTGTAGTATTAAGTTACTCTAATTTCCTACCTCCGTGCCTTTTATTTTCCCCAGGAGAAAACCCTTCCAGGGCATGACCTAATGAATTCTGGTTCAAATTTCCAAATGAATCCGAACCAAAGTGATTCTGTAAGTTGGTGGAGGGAACCTTCATTAAATACCCTAGTGAGGGAAATTTTAGTCTTTCATACTAGAATAAAGTACTTTCCTTGACATATTGAAATTGAACTTCAGCGTTTATGAGACTAGTAAATTGCAGCAGCACGTTGTAACATGTCATGAGTCCAGTAGAGCCTTAGGTCAAGGGTTTTTACTTTCTCTATAACCCCATTAAAAACAGCAGTGTTTCTAATTATTTTTCCTTTAAAAATTAGAAAAGTATGTCTTTCTCTCTAGAGACATGTTATCTTCAGTTATTTCTATAATTTATATGGTTGCATGGGGTATGTCTTAATAGTTTTTATTTGGCTTGACCAAAGTGCAAATTCAATTTTATAGATATGGCTAGTTAGTCTTCTCTTTTCAAACCTGAAGGTGGTTTTGTAATTGAGAAAGTTAATTTTTGCTTCGCCTCTTTATTCCTGACTCTGCCATCTTCTTACCTCAAGGGCTTCTTAACATCACAGTTTCGAGAGAACACTACCGCATTTAACTGTAGGACCAGAATCCATTTATACTACTGTGTTCACATTATAGATGGGGTTGACTGTCTGAAGTTGACTTGATGTTTTTCTATAGCACTTCTTTTGCATCCCTTAAATATGGTCACCAGATTATAACACAGCCTTCAAAAGCTCCTAGCTCTTACAATCTATCATCTTTGATGGTTTTTTGAAGTAACATGACAAGATCAAAAACATACTGTTTTGATGGCTAATTGGCTGGGCTTCCTCAAGATGCCAGCATTTTATTTATTCTGCTGCCCACATGGCTGAATGTAGGAGTTTGCTATGAATTTTAAGAATAGACAATGCATAAACATGTATAAAATTCAGTGTGTGTCTTATTTGAAGACAACTCTGCCACTCATGGTATTTGTTAGTAATGAAGAGAAACCGACTCTAGCGATCTGAAGGCTGTGGGAACCACTGAATCCAACATGGACTGAAAAGCATAGCATGAGGAAACAAGGTAGCCCCAGAGATCAAGATTCAGGATATCCAAAAGCAATTCTTTACTGAAGGAGGCTAGCAAGGACATCAGCCTGTCGCTTCCACTGTTGTCAGTGAACTCTAGCCCTCCCTTCATCTTTCTATCACTCACTCAGAAATGAAAGCCTTCCAAATGAGAACATCCATTTAGCTGAGGCTGTGTCCTGTGCCCAGCCTCGTGGCCTAAGACGAGAGAGAGAGAGAGAGAGAGAGAGAGAGAGAGAGAGAGAGAGAGAGAGAGATTGAGAGAGAGAGAGAGAAGCTGGCATTTGTTTTCCTGTTGGCTACATACAGTGGAAGGTTTTCCTCCTAAATAGGAAAGAAAGTGGCTTTCTATATAGATGCAGGATTTTAAAAACAACTTGCAAATATTTACTATTTTTATAAAACAAGCAACTCATGATTAACTTTGACAATTTATTTTTAAAAATTAAGATTTTTTCTGGGACATCTTGTTGAAGCCAGAGAATCCCACCTCTGTAACATATTATTTGGGTTTAGTTGGGAAACAGAAAGTACATTTCTAATTTTTAATATACAAATTTGAAGTAATAATATTGACTGAATAAGATTGTGTTGAGATACTTTTTATAATGCCTTGGAGCTGTAGTCAGCAATCTGCGGCTCACGGCCACATGCGGGTCTTTGGCCCCTTGAGTGCGGCTCTTCCACAAAATACCACGGCCCGGGGGAGTGTATTTTGAAGAAGTGACGTTAGAAGAAGTTTACGTTTAAAAAATTTGGCTCTCAAAAGAAATTTCAATCGTTGTACTGTTGATATTTGGCTCTGTTGACTAATAAGTTTGCCGACCACTGCCTTAAAGACAATGACAAATACATTTCATGCATTTATTTTGTTGTTGTTAATCCTCACCCGAAACAGAGAAAGAGAGAGAAACATCAATGTGAGAGAGACACTTTGATTGGTTGGTTGCCTCTTGCACTCACCCTGATCAGAGCCAGGGATCGAGCTTCCAATCAAGGTATGTGCCCTTGACTGGAATTAAACCCAAGACCCTTCAGTCCATGGGCCAACATTCTATCCACTAAGCCAAACCAGCGAAGACCATGCATTCATTTTTTAATGGTGTTTTTCTACTTAGTCAACTAATTTGATTAGTATGATTGTAATTTTTTAAAAAGTCAATATTACTTTGCTACATGATGATTTTGTTCACTTATCTGCAATTTTAAAATAAATTATACAGTTTATACAGTTTGACTTTTTTTTTTCTTTCTTTAACAGACAGGCCAGCCTCAATGAAGCAGCTGAGAAGTATTATGATCTGGCAGCCAGGCTGAGGCCCAATGTAAGTACTTTCCTGATGAGAAGCATTACTTACAGGGACAGACTCACAGCACGAGATAGTTGTAGATTAGGTGCCTCTTGATACTGGGTTTTCTCTCTCTGATCCTTTATTCTGAATACCAACTAAATGGCTAATTCAACAATAAAAATTGCCAATCTCAAACTTTTTTCTTTTCCCAGAGGTACAGATATCTATTTTGTATCCTGCATAAAGCATTATAAATTTTTTATTATCAAAATATAGGTGCATTTCTAAATAGTTTACATTTGTAAGGCTTTTAAAATTAGTATCCTTGAAAGTTTGTTTGCTGTGGTGTTAAATATCTAAGAACTTCCAAACCTCATAAGTATTTTTTTAATTCTTACATATAGTCAAATAGGTATTTTATACCTTTTTTATATTCCATGGATCCTAATTTCAAATAACTAACATGTAGTCAAACAGGTGTGTGCTTTTTAACTTTATCAAGTATGTTTTTATTTGAATTTTTCCCTGGGTAGCCACACTCCCATAAAGTACGATGGATATAAATTAGGTCATTACTATTGAAATAGAAGAGCCATTTATGAGGAAATAAGAATGGGTTTTGTATAGGTCTTCTAAGCGCTTTTTATTCACAGCACATCACTGAATTCCATTCCATTACTTTTATTCTCATACACACTCCGCTCTGCTCTCTGCATCACTATTTGACACTAAGACCTCTATCCTGCTCTCTGGATCTATACCATCTATCGAGAAATGCAATTTTGTAATGAAAGTGCATGTGTGATGTGACTACAAATGGAATCCATCTCATTTCTGTACAGTAACTCATCTATTGGGCAAACAAACATCTATAGAATTCCCACTTTATGATAGGATACAAAGATTTTGTACCCTAAAGGACCACATGATGTAGCAGAGAAGATTGAACAAATCTGCTAATTGCAATACATAATTTGCTAATCGCAATTCCTATAGAAAGGTGCCTTCGGTTCTGTGGGAGCATAAGAAGATTAAAAAAGCAACCCACACAGGAAATAGGTGTGTTGTTTTTTTTTCAGGAGATTCAACCACATGTAAACTTAGCTCTGAATCAAAAAGTCCTTTGTTTCATTAATCATGAGGTACTTTTAAGAATTGGTGAGCTGTTTGTAACAGAAGAGAATAATTTAATAGTTGTAATGGTAGGAACGATAGCTAAAATTTATTGAACACTTATCATGTGTCAGACATTGTGCTAAGTCCTTCCTATGAATTCCCTCATTCATTTCTCACAACAACCCACAGGTAGTTCCTTTATCCCCATTCTGCTGAAGCTCAGGAGATATTCATCCTTGTCACACCTAAGAAGTAGAATTACATTGAAACCTAGGCTACCGTGTACATAAGAGAAAGCTTGATGGGAAAATGCATTTAGAGAAGAAATGCAGGCCACAAGTCTAGGAATCCAAAAATAAGAATGGTCTTTTCATATTTACTGAATGCCTATTAAGTGCCAAGCACTATACCAGGCACTGGATACACAGCAGTGAACATAATTGACAAGAGTCCCTGCCTATTGGTTGGGAGCTTACAATCTAGGCTGAGGCGATGGGGCAGAAGCAGATGAGTATGGTGGCATGTCAGATAGTGATAGATGTTTTGGAGAAAAGTGGAGCAGGAAAAAGGAGTTAGGAGGTGCTGGGGGAGGTATGCTACATGCACAGCTTTGTAAATGCCTGAATTGGGCATCCTTGTATGCCATTTCTCAGAAAAGTGTTACATTTGAGGACTTAAACTTATTATAATTTAATTGAAGACAGGAATTAGTTTTTTTGTTTTTCTTTCTTTTTTCTTTATTTTCTTTACATTGCTCCTAATGTACATGATAAATGATGATGTTAAATTTAACCTTTACTCATCGAGTATGTCACTTGAGTGTCACTTTTATTTTTGTTAAGTGGTTGATCAAAAGATCTTCTTCAGCATATTGTAGTAGATTAGTGAGAAAGAGCTAGCTGAGCTATTTGACCTGACCTAAAAAATTAAAGATGCTGAGGAACTTTAGATTTAAGCCTGATTTATGAGATTATTTATTTTAAATGACTAGCCAAATCATAAAATCAATATTTAATCTCCAGCTCAAAGCCATTTTTTTTCTGAAACTCCCAAAAGTTTCTTCATAAATGTGGTACAGACTGTGCTTGAAAAATGCTTTTATTCAAATGATACTTCCCTTATCTGGTAATGATAAATTATTTTATGGACTTGGAGAGAATACAAAGTTCATACTAAGCAGTAAGTAAATGGTGTTACAGTCAATGGATCTACGGATGTGGTCTTTCCATATCTGTTTTAAGGAAGGTGTTTTGGTTTTCTGTATGCAATTTAGGGAAGTGAGATGTCACCAAGGCAAGGCTGATAAAATACAGTACATTCTTCCTCTGAAATGGAGAGATCTACTTAAACAATAGCCATGTAATGATTTATTAGCAGTTAGCATCTGATCTAAATTAAGGTATCCATCTAACATTTCTCTTGCTTATAGCTGTTTATTAACTTTGTCATAAAAGCATTGTCATTTCTGTGCTTTAACTTAATAAATTTTAGTTGCCTGCTTATATAACATAACAAAACAGATTTCAATTCCAGTTATACATTTAAGTAGTTTCACTATCTCCTCTATTTTTGTTGTCTACACGATAATCTACTCTTACTCTTATTTTTCATAAAGCATTTATTTCCACTGTTTAAAAATCCAACTACAACAATCAGTAGTTGTATGTGGGGTTTCTGTGGATGTTTTAGCAATGTTCATGTCAGATCATGACTATACAAAGTAAAATACGTGACTGCAAGCCTTGTACACACCACTTATCATCATATTAAAAAGATTGTTGGTTATCTCTGGGATATATTTCTCATATAATAACATACCTATTTTATTTCTTCAGGATGTCCCATAATACATTTATTTAATTTTTGTATTCTGCCAAAGCCATATTTTTCTATAAAATTTACTTAGAAGAATTCAATTGATTAAAACCTGAAATAATAAAAGAAATCTAAATTAGCAAGAATATGTAATTTTAAGTTTCAGATTTTGATATTGTCTCTTCAAGAGGGATACTCAATACATTGCTACTGAAGTACACAGAGAAATATATTTATTATAAAAATTGCACTATTAAAATTTATTGGATTGGGGAGGTGCTGTAAAATTAAACCTCATATTATATTCAAATATATCTCTATAATGGGAAAAATCTTTACCAAAATAGCCATTTTGAGTTGTTTTTTTTTTTAAAGGCTGTTTTCTTTAAGAAAATTGATCTTTTGGTGGAAGTTACTTTGAAAACACAACACTGTTCCTCTGTCTTCTCTCCCACTTATGCACATCATAAAATGCTGACTCTTGAGGACTAGAGGGAACATTTAAATGAAATGGTTTTGTTCTTCCTATGGGACTCAAGCCAGATTCTGCATTAACGTATGGATTTCTAAATATAAGGACTGGAGAATTTACATAGAACAAAGTCACCCCCTTTAGTAAACTCTAGAGTTAGAAAGGAGTGATTTCTAATGACCAATTTTTATATAGCTTCTGTTCTTCTAGATATAATTGTTTTAGTCTGAATTCATGTGACTTATTTTTTAAATCAAGTTCCAGCTTTGTGCAAGACTCTATACCAAATGCAGTAGGATTTAAAAGTTATGAAAAAATTAATCCTGACCTTGAGAAATATGTAATGTGGGGAGAAAGTGGAAGAGAAAACACATGGGCAGTAAATAATACTATATAGTAAGTACTTTCTGTGGGATATAAACTAGGTGCTAGAGAAATGCACAAGAAAAAGATATTACTTTCAGCTTGATTGATGCTAGAAGGCATAGGCTATAGGTGGGAAGCTTAGAGAATCTTAAAATGACAGGATCTTCATAGGTGAAGATTTTAGCAAAAGGAGAAAAGAGAGTCTGAAAATTGAGGCATATACACGAACAAGGAGATTGAGCTCAGAAAGGATGAACTATGTCCAAGAAATAATAAGCAGATATGGTTTATATTGCCAATGTTGAGAGGAAGGGGAAGGGAAGATAGAACTGGAAATTATGATAAAACCAAATAAAAATCATAAATACCATTCTAAGAATAGGAGTTTGTATTCCAGAACTGTGTTAAACAGAATGACATAATGAAAGTGATAATTTAAGATAGCCATTTATATGATATAATGAATACAGGGTGGGGCAAAAGTGGGTTTACAATTGTGAGTACATGAAACAGAATTTATTCTTGTATTATTCTTTATTAAATTTTGCATTGTTTTCCATATGAACAACTGGCAACCTACTTTTGTCATCCTGTATATAGTGCATATGGGAAAGCAGAGTTGAGAAATGCATCCTTGGGAAAACCAAGTAAAAGGTCATTGTAATGGTATTGAAAGAAGTTATAAAAGATCCTAAAATATAAGCAGATTATTTGATAGGATGTGAGAAAGAAAGTTAGTTGGCCCAATGCCTTTTTCTAAAATTTTGAATTTAGATAACTTGGGGGGGAAATACCCTAAATGGAAATAGGGCGGGTGGAGGGGTGTGCTCATTTCAAGGAGAAATTGTTATGTTGTCACCATGCAGATTCTGAGTGAGAGGTAGGATGTTCTGATTTTCTGTGGGTATGCCTTTCAAGTGAGCAGTTTGGGGAAAGGCCACAGTTAGGGATAATGCTGTGGGAAGTCAGTTTTAGAAAGGAGATAGTACCAAAGAGGTGGATAAGGTCATGAAGGTTCTGAGCGAATGTATAGAAGGAGAGAAGAAAGTTCATTTCCATCCCTTAGGGAATCTCTACATTTGAATGTAATGTAGGAAGTCAGGAGACGATGGCAAGGCATAGAAATAATGTTGGTGAGCAATTTCCACTGCTGCCAAAGGTAATTGAGAAGGTTCATTGACTTTAGAGAATAAGACACGTTAGCTAGCTTTAAAAGTTCAGTTTTATGCAACTGATATGGGAAGAGTATTAAGGCCTTAAGGAA